TGATAAAGCTCACGGTTCAGGGAGGGTGGCCTAGTAGCGACCAGCGAAGAGGCGGGGCCAGGAGCTTGGACTCGACCCCTGCAACCTCAACTAGGTGAGTACACACACACACACACACACACACACTCGGACACACGAACACGCACTTAAACACTCACTGATACACACACACCCATTTAAGCACACTTATACATAATCCTATGCACACATTTATACAATTTATACAAGATTATTCACACACAAGCTTATTCACACAAGTATACACATTTATACAACCCCTCACACCCTTACACACACATCCATCCCTCACACTACCACTACCACATAACACCAGACAATCCAACTCCAATTCCTCGAATTAAGAATCCCCAAAACTTCTTACTACTAACACATTACCGATTAACTCCAACTCCCCGGATCGAAAGCATCCTCTATTACTCACCAAATATCATACTATGCCTGCCGGAGGAGTAACATACTTATCCTTCTTCCTAGAGGATCTGTCTAATAGACACCTGTCTGCCAGCCCTGGTTCTGTTTTAAATTACCAGTTACTCATCGTTACTGAGTACTTATTAGCCAGTTTTTATCATCCTAAGAGAGTGGGACAGCTTACAAGCAGCTGGTGGTACCTGGAAACCCACACCTGACTCCCCCAAAACCACGCATAGGTGAAATACTTGCGATGCAGCCTGTAGCACCCTGTAGCAGCGTGTAGTAGCCTGTAGCAGCCTGTAGGCTGTCCGACTCGCTGTGATGTACTGGCATATCTTCACCTCCATTTCTTCTCTTTATATAATATATTCCTATTTACTGTGCTTCTCTCACTAGTCACACAATGATTTCACTTAATCATTCTTGGGTGACATGTGGTAACGTCTCATGCACCAAACTAGACCTGCCGTTTCTGACTTGCTCCAAATTTGCTTGTAAAACTGTCGCTCTCTCCTCACAGATAACAAAAAAGGCACAATACCGTGACTGGAACGATACACAAATAACACGCACATAAAAGAGAGAAGCTTACGACGACGTTTCGGTCCGACTTGGACCATTGACAAAGTCACACTAACCAGAGGTGGAGCAGGACGGCTATACATAGGCAGGAAGAGGTGGTGGTAGTAGTAGTAGTAGTAGTAGTAGTAGTAGTACAAGAGTTGTATATAATACCGACAAGATGAAATTAAGACATGCACAACACCCGGGCATCCCCATCATAGACGTTTCGCCATCCAGCCAGCCACTGGATGGCGAAACATCCAGCCAGCCACTGGATGGCGAAACGTCCACAAGAAAGACAACCAGACGCCGCACATGTGTCTCAATTTCATCAGTAGTTGTAGTAGTAGAAGAAGAAGAAGAGGTAGTAGTAGTGGTAGTGGTAGAAGTGGGAAATAAAAAGGACGAGCCAGTCAAATACAAAGGAAGGGGAGCACTGCAAGAGAGCTAGATGCCCACAGAGGGAGAGCAAGCGCACAGAGGCGCGTGAAAGGGAAGTGGTGAAATAAATGAAGAAGGAACAGAAACACGAGACAGGAGAGAGAAAGACAACCCAGAGGAGAAAAGGAAAGAGGAAAGGGGAAGAGGAAGAAGAAGAAAAAGAAAAAGAAAAAATGAGGATTCAGGTTAAGTCACGGGTGTTCTGAAGTTTGGAGCACTTTACAATGTAGTGGGAGAGGAAGGCATCTACAGAGACGAAGCCAGGGCTAAGGTTCATACAAGGAAAGTTGTGTATTAGAGAGGATTCAACTAGACGGCGACTGTTCGAGTAGGAAGTAGGGAAGACAGTTTTAGCAGAAGACCAGTCAATAGGATGGCTATGATCTCTGACGTGACAGAAAAGAGCATTGTTAGTGTCGGCAAGCCTAACACTATTTTTGTGCTCCCTAAGTCTGTCAGAAAGAGATCGACCAGTTTCTCCGAAGTATTGAAGAGGACAGGAGGAGCAAGAAATAGAGTAGACACCAGGAACATCTGTAGAGGGAGGAGAGGTATGAACGAGATTAGTGCGAAGATGTTCCTGGTGTCTACTCTATTTCTTGCTCCTCCTGTCCTCTTCAATACTTCGGAGAAACTGGTCGATCTCTTTCTGACAGACTTAGGGAGCACAAAAATAGTGTTAGGCTTGCCGACACTAACAATGCTCTTTTCTGTCACGTCAGAGATCATAGCCATCCTATTGACTGGTCTTCTTCGTCTGTCCCGTCTTCCCAGCTCATCCCATTTGGGATCTTACCTGAACTTTCGTTCGTTCGTTCGTACCTCTGGTTAGTGTGACTTTGTCAATGGTCCAAGTCGGACCGAAACGTCGTCGTAAGCTTCTCTCTTTTATGTGCGGGTTATTTGTGTAGCTCTCTCCTCACTTATGTGGCTCAAGGAAACTTGTAAATCACTTGGGTAGCCTTAGGGAGCCCACATTCACAGAGCACTAAGGTTGTGACTCGCGCACGTGTGGTCCCTACTCACCTAATTGTTGTTAAGATAAGATAAGATTTCGTTCGGATTTTTAACCCCGGAGGGTTAGCCACCCAGGATAACCCAAGAAAGTCAGTGCGTCATCGAGGACTGTCTAACTTATTTCCATTGGGGTCCTTAATCTTGTCCCCCAGGATGCGACCCACACCAGTCGACTAACACCCAGGTACCTATTTGCTGCTAGGTGAACAGGACAACAGGTGTAAGGAAACGTGTCGAAATGTTTCCACCCGCCGGGAATCGAACCCGGGCCCTCCGTGTGTGAAGCGGGAGCTTTAGCCACCAGGCCACCGGGCCTGGGGTCGAAACTCAGCTCCTGGCCCCGCCTCTTCATTGACCGCTACTAGGTCCTCTCTCTACCTGCTCCATGAGCTTTATCATACCTCGTCTTAAAGCTATGTATGGTTCCTGCGTCCACTACATCACTTGCTAGACTATTCCAATTCCTGACTATGAAGAAATACTTCCTAATATCCCTTTGACTCATCATCTGTGTCTTTAACTTACAAGTGGGACCCTTTGCTTCTGTGTCCTCTCTCTGGAACATCCTGTCTCTGTAAACCCTGTCTATTCCACGCAGTATTTTGTATGTTGTTATCATGTCTCCCCTAACCCTTCTGTCCTCCAGTGTCGTCAGGCCGATTTCCCTTAACCTACCTTTGTAGGACATTTCCCTTAGGTCTCGAACCCTGTCGCAAACCTTTGCACTTTTCCTAATTTCTTGACGTGCTTGACCCGGTGTCGGTTCCAAACTGGTGCTGCATACTCAAGTATGGGCCTGACGTACACGGTGTCCAGTGTCTTGAACGATTCCTTACTAAGTTATCGGAACGCTATTCTCAGGCTTGCCAGGCGCCCATATGCTGCAGGAGTTATCTGGTTGATGTGTGCTTCCAGAGACATGCTCGGGGTTATACTCACCCCAAGATCTTTCTCCTTGAGTGAGGCTTGCAATTATTGGCCACCTAGCCTATACTCTGTCTTCGGTCTTCTTTGCCCTTCCCAGATCTTCATGACTTTGCTTTTGGCGGGGTTAAATTCGAGAAGCCACTTGCTGGACCAGGTGTCCAGCCTGTCCAGGTTACTTTGAAGTCCTGCCTGATCCTCATCTGATTTAATTCTCTTCATTAACTTCACATCATTTGGGAACAGGGACACTTCTGAGTCTATTCCTGCCATCATGTCATTCACATCTACTCTGTGTGTGTGTGTGTGTGTGTGTGTGTGTGTGTGTGTGTGTGTGAAGGTAGATTGAGTTGGATTGTAGTTGATGGGGCGTGAGCATCCAACCATTCTGTGCATGATACCATACGAAGGGTGGGAACAGGTGTTCCGATGCATTGGAGCAGGTTTACTGGGAGGAGAGGGTGAGTGTGGTAGTGGTGAGAGGTGGTGGAAGGGACGGAGTGAGGATTCAGACGGTAGGTATGCGGACGGAGGATGGCACATATGAAGGCACTGAAGTCACTTAAGGTGATGGAATGATGGGGAGAGTGTCAGACAGGGGGAGATTAGGTGGTAGTTAATGCAAAATGTTAATAACTACGGGTGGTCTTATATGCCTTATGAACTAGGGGAAAGGGAGTGATTGAATAAGGTGTTGAAGGAGTGGGGCGATGAAGGGGGAGGTTGTAGGAAGGGTGAATAGTACTTAAAAAAAATTCAAGGGGTGTGATTTGGACAGGAGAGGGTCTAGGTCTTAGATGGACTCTTAATCCAAGGAAATGGAGTTAAAGTTGGTCAGGAAGTTGAGGGGGTATGGCAGATGGAGGTTAAGGGGAGGTGAGAGGAGGTGAGTGGAAGAGTGGGATGAAAGGGTAAGGAAGATGGGGAGCTTCGCAGGAGGTGAGGGAGTGGCCCAATATAAAAAAAAATATCTAGTTTAAATAAAAGATCTGAGGAAATGGAGCTAGAAAGCTCTCTATAGCAGGATAGAGTCTTTTGGAACCCAGAGCTCGACTTCCAAGGGGCCTTTCATTAATGATGTTCTGAATATTTGAACTATTCAAGGTGAATACAAGGTCCAGTCTTGCTGGTTTATCCTCTCCCCTCTCCCCACTTCCATCATTTTAGCCCCTCCAGGTTTCTGGTCCCCCATGTGGAGGATAATTATAGAAGATATACCCTCAATGGATCCAGAGTTAGAGCCTAGAAGGTGGTCATGCTGAGGGTAGGTATTGCAAGTTAAAGTCAACTATTCTCTTGAGAGAGGCTGTACACCAGTTCCACCCACTAGAACTTCCCTTATGCGGTACCATCAGGGCCACTCATGATAGGCGCCCAAACGGACCACCCACTAGGGCTACCCATTAATGCAATTCCCCAGTGCCATTTCCTAAGTTTATCCACCAGGGCCATTCTAAAGTGTCTTTTCCAGGATCATTCATTAGAGCAACTCACCAGGGCGACAAAGACCACTTATCAGTACCACGCACAAGAAGTTCCCACTAGGCTCACTCTTAGGGCTACTCGGCAGGGCTACTTACTCAGGTCACCCACAAGGGCTTCAAATCAACTGCACTTACCAGGGCTACCTGATTCCCGTACTGGGCCAGGACGCTGAGCATATACGAGGCATAGTTGGTATCGGGGATGGCAGGAAAGGGCACGGGGCCCTCCCATCTAAGAATCCTGGGAATATGTTTTCCTTCTGGAACCTCCTTGGCTTCCTGACTTCCTGCAACCTTCTTCTTTGGATCATCAGCTTCCTGACATGACGGCCTGTCGTTCACGTCCATTTTTTCGCTTCCATGAAAAATTAAACATACAAATCAATTACCGGAAATCATTTGTAAAGTTCGTATGTTTTGAGCATATTGACAGGAAATGTATATATAAATATGAAATTAAGACACATGTGCAACAACTGGGTATCTTTATTGTAGACATTTCGCCATCCAGTGGCTTTATCAATACAAATTCCAAGACATAACTTGAAGACAGTAGAACTATATACAGACGATGAGGTAATCAGTCCCTCAACCTAGGAGTAGGTGCGAAGAGCACCGTAGTCGTGGAGATTCTGTAGCAGAAGCAAGGAGCCTGGCGCTTATATACTAACGTCAGGTGGAAATGGGACGTGTAGCAGACTAGGGCATAGTCACTGGTAGGCAGGATTCACCAGTGGAAGTAGGTCCTACCCAAAGAGATGGGTTAGTGGTAGTAGTAGTTGTCGAAGTCGTGAAGGTTATGTATGTCCTCAGAATCAAAATTCCATGATGTTGCAGTGTCTGACAAGTTGTACAAGAATGATGTACAATACCGACAAGATGAAATTAAGACACATTTGCAACATCTGGGTATCCCATTTCCACCTGACGTTAGTATATAAGCGCCAGGCTCCTTGCTTCTGCTACAGAATCTCTACGACTACGGTGCTCTTCGCACCTACTCCAAGGTTGAGGGACTGATTATCTCATCGTCTGTATATAGTTCTACTGTCTTCAAGTTATGTCTTGGAATTTGTATTGATAAAGCCCCTGGATGGCGAAACGTCTACAATAAAGATACCCAGATGTTGCACATGTCTTAATTTCATCTTGTCGGTATTATATACCATTCTGGCACATATATAATTATATATATATATATATATATATATATATATATATATATATATATATATATATATATATATATATATATATATATATATAATTGGTTTGTAGGGCTGGGAGTACGCAGATCCTCCCAGATTGCTCTACCAGCTTTCCTATCTTCTTACATAGCATCAAACGAGTTAATAAGACAGATTCTTCCTGATAACCTCAGTGACTCAGCAGGAATACAGGACCCTAACTATGCCAGTGCCATCACTGAATGGGAGACTCTTGTTGCTCCAGCACCAAACCATAGTGCAGCACTGGCTTACAAACAGTCAAGCTGGGATGGCCCCATCACCGAAAAGGTGTTTGCCAACATGCTCAGGGCTGCAACATCAGACAGGGACACTGCCCATCTCCAAGTTGTGAGAGCTCCTTACTCCGGGGACTTCCTCCAAACAGTTCCCATATCGGCAATGGGAACGCGAGTCGGCCTTAAGACTCTCAGTATTGCAGTGGCTCTGTGCCTTGCTGCCCCAATTCACACAGAATATACGTGTATTTGCAGCGAAGCACAAGCCGACCAATATGGTCTACATGGTCTTAACTGTTCCAAAACCAAGGGCTGGCATGCAAGACACAATGAGGTCAATGACATCATAAAGAGAACCCTTGCTACAGCTGGATGCCCAGCAGAGAGGGAGCCCCGATCACTAGCAGCCAACAATACCCACAACCCAGGAAATTGCCCCGAAGGGATCACCATCTATCCTTGGAAGAATGGCAAGCTCTTAGCATGGGACTATACCTGTGTGTCCACACTGGCTGACACCTATATCCATCAAAGTGTCGAGTGACAGGGAGGAGTACAAGATCAGCAAGTACAGGGACATAAGCCAACAGTATGAATTTGTCCCATTGAGATGAGAGACCTTGGGATCATGGGGAAAACATGCTACACATTTCCTTAAAGAACTGGATTGCAGACTCATCGACACCACCAGGGACCCAAGGCCAGCCACTTTCGTGTTCCAGCGCCTCTGCGTGGCCATCCAGAGGGGAAATGCTTGCAGCATACTTGGCTAGCGTCTGCCTTCGGAGGAGCTGGAGGAGATTCATAACCTTTGATATATTGTACCAAAGTATTCATGTTTGTGTTTATTATCAATGTATTCTATTAATAAAGCACATATATAATATAAATTATAGTGGGTGGTAGGAGAAGAAAATATTCAAACAGCTCCGGGGAGAACCTCGACGGTACCGGAAGAGGAATTTTAAAACTGAAGTTGAAAAATTATGGAAATTAAGGTTTTCTTACCAAAAAAAAATAGTGCAAAATTCTGGCAACATGTTGATGCAATCAGCTTGTTTCTATCATATTTCTAAGTATGTTTTTTTCAAAAATGTAATTTTTATAGTTTTTGCTCTCATCAAGAGGACATGTTGGCAATTGGTGTTTCTATTGTTTTTTTTTACTCCAAAAATTACTATTATTTTATTCTGAATTACTGATTATTTCATTCTAAACAAGTTCTGTTACGACTAAAGTGAAGAGCACAGAGTTGTTGCTGCTCTGTTGCCTCTGAGTTATCAACAATGATAGGGGTTTGCAACACCCTCACTCTGGGTTATCAACAATGATAGGGGTTTGCAACACCCTCACTCTGGGTTATCAACAATGATAGGGGTTTGCAACACGCTCACTCTTGGTTATCAACAATGATAGGGGTTTGCAACACGCTCACTCTGGGTTATCAACAATGATAGGGGTTTGCAACACGCTCACTCTGGGTTATCAACAATGATAGGGGTTTGCAACACCCTCACTCTGGGTTATCAACAATGATAGGGGTTTGCAACACGCTCACTCTGGGTTATAAACAATGATAGGAGTTTGCAACACCCTCACTCTGGGTTATCAACAATGATAGGGGTTTGCAACACGCTCACTCTAGGTTATCAACAATGATAGGGGTTTGCAACACGCTCACTCTGGGTTATAAACAATGATAGGAGTTTGCAACACGCTCACTCTGGGTTATCAACAATGATAGGGGTTTGCAACACGCTCACTCTGGGTTATCAACAATGATAGGGGTTTGCAACACGCTCACTCTGGGTTATCAACAATGATAGAGGTTTGCAACACCCTCACTCTGGGTTATCAACAATGATAGGGGTTTGCAACACGCTCACTCTGGGTTATCAACAATGATAGGGGTTTGCAACACGCTCACTCTGGGTTATCAACAATGACAGGGGTTTGCAACACGCTCACTCTGGGTTATCAAAAATGATAGGAGTTTGCAACACGCTCACTCTGGGTTATCAACAATGATAAGGGTTTGCAACACGCTCACTCTGGGTTATCAACAATGATAGGGGTTTGCAACACGCTCACTCTGGGTTATCAACAATGATAGGGGTTTGCAACACGCTCACTCTGGGTTATCAACAATGATAGGGGTTTGCAACACGCTCACTCTGGGTTATCAACAATGATAGGGGTTTGCAACACGCTCACTCTGGGTTATCAACAATGATAGGGGTTTGCAACACGCTCACTCTGGGTTATCAACAATGATAGGGGTTTGCAACACCCTCACTCTGGGTTATCAACAATGATAGGGGTTTGCAACACGCTCACTCTGGGTTATCAACAATGATAGGGGTTTGCAACACGCTCACTCTGGGTTATCAACAATGATAGGGGTTTGCAACACGCTCACTCTGGGGTATCAACAATGATAGGGGTTTGCAACACGCTCACTCTGGGTTATCAACAATGATAGGGGTTTGCAACACGCTCACTCTGGGTTATCAACAATGATAGGGGTTTGCAACACGATCACTCTGGGTTATCAACAATGATAGGCGTTTGCAACACGCTCACTCTGGGTTATCAACAATGATAGGGGTTTGCAACACCCTCATTCTGGGTTATCAACAATGATAGGGGTTTGTAACACCCTCACTCTGGGTTATCAACAATGATAGGGGTTTGCAACACGCTCACTCTGGGTTATCAACAATGATAGGGGTTTGCAACACGCTCACTCTGGGTTATCAACAATGATAGGGGTTTGCAACACCCTCACTCTCGGTTTTATCAACAATGATAGGGGTTTGCAACACGCTCACTCTGGGTTATCAACAATGATAGGGGTTTGCAACACGCTCACTCTGGGTTATCAACAATGATAGGTGTTTGCAACACGCTCACTCTGGGTTATCAACAATGATATGGGTTTGCAACACGCTCACTCTGGGTTATCTACAATGATAGGGGTTTGCAACACGCTTACTCTGGGTTATGAACAATGATTGGGGTTTGCAACACGCTCACTCTGGGTTATCAACAATGATAGGGGTTTGCAACACGCTCACTCTGGGTTATCAACAATGATAGGGGGTTGCAACACGCTCACTCTGGGTTATCAACAATAATAGGGGGTTGCAACACGCTCACTCTGGGTTATCAACAATGATAGGGGTTTGCAACACGCTCACTCTGGGTTATCAACAATGATAGGGGGTTGCAACACGCTTACTCTGGGTTATCAACAATAATAGGGGGTTGCATCACGCTCACTCTGGGTTATCAACAATGATAGGGGGCTGCAACACGCTCACTCTGGGTTATCAACAATGATAGGGGGTTGCATCACGCTCACTCTGGGTTATCAACAATGATAGGGGGTTGCATCACGCTCACTCTGGGTTATCAACAATAATAAGGGGTTGCATCACGCTCACTCTGGGTTATCAACAATGATAGGGGGTTGCAACACGCTCACTCTGGGTTATCAACAATGATAGGGGGTTGCATCACGCTCACTCTGGGTTATCAACAATGATAGGGGGTTGCATCACGCTCACTCTGGGTTATCAACAATAATAGGGGGTTGCATCACGCTCACTCTGGGTTATCAACAATGATAGGGGGTTGCAACACGCTCACTCTGGGTTATCAACAATAATAGGGGGTTGCATCACGCTCACTCTGGGTTATCAACAATGATAGGGGGTTGCAACACGCTCACTCTGGGTTATCAACAATAATAGGGGGTTGCAACACGCTCACTCTGGGTTATCAACAATGGGTTTCAACACGCTCAGATTTGGTGTTTCATCTCCATAGAGTTTTATAGAAACAAAAACTTGAATAACTCAGTAATAAGTTATTGACATTTGTT